GGAAGTTAAGATATTTTCTAAAAATGGTTCAATTAAAAAGATTTTCCCAAAGCTTACTTATTTTCTATAGAATTTCAATATTGATTAAGTAAAACTTAATTTAAAAACTTTTTTCCTTTCAACAAAATACCCTGTCACTAGCCTCATAATAATTTTAATGCTCGTTGTTACTTATTTGACCATAAATCTAATTCTTAGGGAAAGCACATGTGAAGCAATAGTATGAAGTAATATTCCCAATCTTCAGACCTACTTGTCTGGTTTTTGTTGTCAATCCTTGAAATCTGATGATTAATCCCAAGCGATAAGCATTTACAGTAATTTTCTTCAGTCTGTATCCTTATAGTCACTAGAAGTATGTTCCTGGAATCCCAGTGACATGGAGGGAAAAGTTTAGGGAAAATGAATCATAGTCAAATAAAGAGATGGGAAGAAAGGCTAGAATCATAATGTTGGGGTGAAGGGAGATTTATTTACCTGTAAATAACCGGATTTTAACTTCCATAAAAAAAATCTAGAGGGGGGGTATGAAATGCTAGCTGTAAAAGAATGCATAACTAAATATACTCTTTGTTAATATTACTTTCCTCTTAGGCGCTTTAATTGTGAAAGAGGTAAAAGTTGTGAAACTGGTTTATGCATCCAGAGAAATGAAACTAGGAACTTAAAAAAAAATTTGTCCAGATTTTTGAAGAATTGGGGAATACAAATTGAGGAAGTAATCAATTTGATTTTGCTATACTGTTACCTTAGTATGTTAAAGCTGTAAATATAAGGCTAAACTCATTCCAACTAAATATTTTTGTTACTATTGTTTTAAATAATGTGATTGTAATCTTTTAAATGCCATTTAACATAGATAATACTATTTTCCTTTGTTCTTTAGCTTATTTAATTTGAAAAGCATGTATACTTTAAAAAGTTCTTTTTGATTATTTCATGGAGAGGAAATACTTCTCTGGAAATTAGCACTATAAGAAATGTAATACAAAGGCTACCAAAATATGTAGAAAGGAAAGAGCTCTGAAGTAATTTTATGAAAAATAGTTTAGAACTTATTAGTCAGCAAATAAAATAAAGCACTTACTGCATTTAGGTAGTAAGAGAAAAAATGTTTTCAGTAGAAGTATGTTCATCTAGAACATTCTTGTGTCAGAAGGTTACTAAAGTAAGTTTGAATGAAAAATAATAAAAATTTGCTTGTGTATGAGTGTAAGGTTTTTGTTGTTGTTTTTGCTGTATTAACGTCTTTTGGTGTTGGTGCAAATAATATAATGCTGCACTAAAAGCCCTTGACATAGTATTCCAGCAACTTCCCAGTTATGATTAGAATGTTCTTCTAAATTGAGATCATTATATAGGAAGAAAAAAATAAAATTTTACAATGTTTTAAAGTGCTTATTGATACTACTGGTCACTTTTTTTGAAAACTATACAGGTTTTACAGTGTTACATTAAAAAATGTTCTAGTATGCAAATATAACTTTAAGTCTGAGAGCATTATGAAAGATCTAGCAAAAAGTTATAGGAACTGAAAGTCACAGTTAGTATATGTTAAATGCATAACAAAATTTATGAAATCCCTTTAGCAGGTCCCCCTCCTTCTAGCCCTTTCCTTTTAAAAGTAAAAGACTCAATTAAAAAGCCACTTAACTTTCTTTAGAAGAAATGCCAACTTTAAAAAAAAAAAAAGAAAAGAAAAAGAAAGAGACAGAATATTTCTACCTAGCTTGGCTTGGAGCTCTGGTTTAATATTTTTCCTCTCAACAAAAAATATTTTTTCTTTACAAATTTTTTGTTTTTACCTCATTTTTCATTTCCAAGATATCCATCTCCCTTTTCCAAAAGAGCCACCTCCCTCATAAGAAAGAGGGAAAAAGACATTCAACAAAACTAACCAGTACATCAGCCATGTCTGACATTATGTGCAAGTTTCCATACCTATAGTTCCCCCACTTTTATAAAGAAGAGAAGGAGATTAATCAAACAATTTTATGGTATTATAATCATAACCAAGGATGTATCCAAAGTGACAAGGATTGTATTTTCCATTGTGGTCTTTTTATTTCTGTTAAGTCAAAAGAGGATTATACACCAAAGAAGAGAAATAGCCCCCTTATCACTTGGTTTTCTTAATAGTGTTTGCCTAATTGAAGAATTTTCCTTCTTGTATTTATTCTTTGTAATCCATGAAAAAATTATTTGTGGGATTAAAAAATGTTTAATCTTGTTGGTGTCTAGATAACTAATTATTATTTACTAGTCATTTCTTTAAATAATGTGGTTATTCATGAAAGAATGCCATCAGTTCAAAGTGCTAATAACATCCCTCCCTGCTCCTCACAGGCAAAAGATACTGAATCTTGTGAACTGATTGTTCCTTGCTTTTATTCATGAATTCTTGGAGGGGGTGGGAAGAAAAGGATCACTTTTACTCTTTTTCTCTCTTTTATTTGTACACTTATATATTGAGAAATATTTAATGCTGTAATAAAAGAGAAAGTATTTCCAAGTGTACCTAAATAAAAAGTCTTAAATAGAAACTGTATTTTGTAAAGTGGGAATTCTATGATAAAACCTTTTCCGCTGCTTAAATCAGTTGTCATCACAAGAGCATTTATTGTAAATTACTTTCAAGGGATGTAAATAAGAAAGGCATTTCTCTAAGTTTATACTTTCAGAGTTAACTTTTTGAGTTAATGATTAAAATTCAGTAGTTGTGTTTTCTAATTTGGTTGCAACTGCTATTTGATAATCTAAAAATATTCCTAATCGAAATATTATGTTTTTGTTGATAATTCTAATCAGAATAAATAGCAGCTATTCTAGGAAGTACTAGTATAGATTGACAAGCATAAAAATATAAATTTTTCAAAAGTATAGCAAGAGGAAACATTTTCTTATTTGTAGAAGTACTTTTAAAAACATTTTCTTTTTAAAATACTAAAGTGCTCAACCGAAATTTTTTAATAAACAGTTTTTATCTTGAGCCTGAAGTGTCAGAGGAAAATATCTTTGCCCCCTAGTAATTCAGCATTGTTTAGAATATATATATATATATATATATATATATATATTTGCTTTTGAACCCTTTTGTAACAACTCCATTGCTTTATTTTAGAATATTTTTTAAATAACCCATATCCTTTAAAATTCATGGATTTAAGAAGCTTGTAGATTTAATGTAACTTTGTTTTATAATTATGCATTCTCTAAACAATGACATGTTAAAAGAATGAGATGTTTTAATTTCATTGTATTTTTGAAAGAATATAATAAAACTTTTTACATGGAGTGTATGTACTCTTTACTTTAAAAAAGGAATCTTTATTCTAATAGAAAAGTTGATTTGTTTCCTCTCTTAGAAAGAAATCACAAATGGCAAAATTACACTGAAGAATTAAGCTAATGGTTAACTTTTAGAGGCTATAATTTGGAACCTGAAAGTGTTTATTCTTAATTAAATGGCAGTTTGAGAGAATAGTTTGAATCTTCTTTTATTTTCTGACTACCATCAAAACAGCAGAAGAAGGAATAGTTTTTTGGTTTTTGTTTTTACAAATAAATACTGTTCCTGTTCTACATTATTTGTTTGTTTTGTGTGTGTGTGTGTGTGTGTGTGTGTGTGTGTGTGTGTGTGTGTGTGTTATAAGCAAGAATAGCTGTTATCTAATTAAATCTTCATGTAAATGTAACCTTCATGGGTATATGTGGTGATTTTTTAAATTTGGAAAAATGTTTCACATTTTTGAACATCATCTTACCTAAATATTGCATTTGTTGTTTTATTAGAAATATTCATGGAAAAAATAAGCTGTTAAATCTAATTTTTTTTTTAAAGTCAACTTTTATTCTTATAAACACAAATTCTGTTGTGGAAATACAAAGTCTTTGTCACCCCTCTCTATAAGCAGTAAAACCTATGGGTATAAAGTTTACTTTTTATTCATTAATCTTTTTTAACTTCAAGTCTTTCTGTGAAATATTTGAAATTTCATATTCACATCTCAGAGAATCACTGAGTCTCTGCTATATTCGTTTGCCTTAAACATTCTGTGTAAGCACAATATGTTGGTATTCAGTGCATAGACACTTTGCCTTCTACACCTTCTCTGTCCTTGATCAGATTCTAGCTTGAAAATTTTAAAGTAAGTTATTCTGAGCATTGTTCATGAAGGATGGGAGTCAGACATCCTGCTTCTTGTGGTTTGGGATTCAATTAGCTGTCTGCTTTCCTTGGTCTGACCATTTGAAATATGCAGATCATTGGGTCCCTAGTAAGATTGGAGTCTTTGTTAAGCTGTTGGACCACAAGGGGGAAAGGATTCTTTAAACATTTGTAAGTGTGATAACACAATAAAATTGTTCATGTGTTAACCAGTCATTTTTTTCTTCATATTATGTGCTTTTTTTAAAGTGGAACTTTAGTGGTATCTTAACAGTAGATAAGAATAGTTAGATTAGGTTAACAGAGACCTGGAAATGTCCGAATGTTACATGTTTTCAGATTTTGATGTGATGTGTTTATTTGTATCTCTGCTGCCCATCAGCAGAAGTTACTTTATTAGATATCCTAGAGGAACTTATAATTTTGGACCCAGTTAGGAGAAATGTTAATAAACAGAAAACTCTGACAAGTTGTATTTCCAGAGTAGGGAAGTTCATCCTCAATTTGATGTTTATTTTTTAAAAATATACTAAAACATAGTCAAGATAGAGTTTCTATATAAAATATGATGAATGTTCAGTATAAAAGATTGACATTATATAGAGTCCATTTCCGTTCTTTAAACTGTGACCCGAAGTCCTTTTGTTAATCTTGAATCTTAAAGCTTTCATCGGATCTTTCTATGTCTCCACTGTCCAAATAACACTTTGCTTAGCTTCAGAGTTGAAAGCCAGTATTTCCTGACATGGTATATACCAGATGTTATGAGATGATATAGCACACTGGACAAAGAATATTTTCTCACATTATCCATTAATATTTTTTTTCCTAGGACTTTGCGTCTCGGGCTAAGTTAGCAGTTCAGAACATGGTACAGAAGGTTGGATTTTTTGGAATTTTGGCCTGTGCTTCAGTAAGTGAATTTTATTAAAAATGAGAAATTTCAGTAAATGGGAGTTTGTGTTTTGATTTTATTTACCTTTAAAGATAATACTACAGAATGAACAGAAATAACTTCTCTTTATGCCTCCAGTTCTGCTTTAGTTAATCATTCATCTTGCTCATTGAGTGAGCTGTTTTCTATGGTGTCTTGTTTATTGACTTATATGCATTCCATCACACAATGATGAATTCAGACTTAAATAGCTTGCCTCATTGATAGCAAAAAAGTCAAAATCCATCTTCCCCATGAAGAATTTATAATAACTTTCCTTTAACCAAGTAGTGATGGCTTAGTATGTTCCATGGAGTTATATGGGTGGACTCTTTATGCCCATTTTCCAAGGATTAGTTAGTTCCATGGTAGAACTAGATTGGTGCAATGAAACTTGTTTTAGGTAATTAGTTACTGTCTAACTATTAGGAATACCTGTCATTGAGAAAGACTTTTGGCCATTGCAAACAAAGTAATTGTGTGAAATTTAACTAATAGCTTAAATATATCTATTTTTTTGACTGACAGATTCAACCAGGTATGTACTTTTATAGTTATGAAAACAAATATATACATTTGAGCCACAGTTAGTGGAGGCAGGGATTCATTTAGTTCAGTTTAATCCCCAATATTCTTTTAAATTATCAGCCTTGCAGAGTTTTTGTAACATCAATGAGCTCACTACAGTTTTAATTGACCCCATCTGTGTTTACTATACTTTTCCCTGCCTTACTTATCTTTTGTCTTCTTCCATGTATCACTAGGTCAAGGAGAGATAAATGTGGTCCTTTACTAGAAAAGAGAGGCAGAGGTTATGAAATCTCTTTTGGCACTCAATCCAATTTCCAGCCCTCAATCTGTGATTCTTTATAATGGCTTGAGGTTTTATGAATTAACTAACTAGTTTATAGAAGTACATTAAATAATGAATGAAAGAACATCCTTTGGCTAATGTATAAAGCAACTTGTGTTTATCAGTTCCTTAAGCAAGTGGTAGATTTTAAGAAATTCCACGAATTAGACCCTTGAAGTTATACCCTCTATTTTATTAATTCAGTTTTATGAATGGTCCCCATCTTATTTTCAAAGTCTGTCCTATTTTCCTTAGTAAGGCTGACTGAGAAAATGGCTTCTGTTGTGCTGTTTTGAGTCCTGACAGCTTCCTAAAATTTTTCCTTTTTTTATATAATCTTCTGTAGTACTTGTAATTGATTGACTAGTGGTAAACTAGTAATAATGCCTAATTACTATGAACCAGTAAAATTAGCTTTCTAAACTAGCCGTGATGATTTTGGAACCTTAGACAAGGTAGCATGTAACACAGAATGATGGCTTATTGTTCCTCGAACCAGTTTCTCATCTCTCATTTCCTGTGCCTAGAATCCACTTCCTCCTGACTTTTGCCCTTTCAGATCCCTTCAAGGCTCAGCTCAAGTACTACCTTTCTTCCCAAATTGTCTTGTATCTATTTTATATATAAATCTTTATGTTTACATGTTGCCTCCTTTCCCTTGATTTTAAACTCCTTAAGGGTAAGGACTTTTAACTTTGTCGTTCTGTTACCAGTGTCTAGTACTGAGCCTGGTACACATATTAAGATCTTAGTAAAGTGTGATTTTTCTACTTATGGAGTATTAGGAATCCTTCCCCCTTCCCCCCCAATGCTTAAGATAAGATGCCCACATATTGAGTTTCAAATAAAAGTGAGTTCTGCTAATTACTTCAGTCTTTAACACCTAAATCAAGAGAAATAAAAGCCATAGAGATTCAAATATTACTTTATAGGTTTTCTAAAATCTAATTTTCTTTTATATTTTCAGTTAAGCTACCAAGAGAATAGATAGCATATATGCCCAGAAATTTAATTATTTGACCATAGCTTCTCAACTCAAAGCAGAGAGAGACCCTTGTTGACTATATGTAAATATTGTAGAATTCCAATTATGATCCTTTTTTATTTTTGAAACTCATATCTTATATTTTAAAAATTCATTTTAGTCCCCAAAAGGAAACTGGCAGTAGGAAAGATTTGTACAGATTTTAAAGGGAATACAACACAGTGGGAATAAGACCAATTGAGGGGTAATGAGACCTGGATTCTCATCAGCTCTGCCACTTACTAGCCATGAGACCTTGGGTAAAGTCATTACACATTTTCAGACCTCGGTTTCCTCTTGTCAGATGAAAAGGAGTGTGCTAGATAAAATTCTAATGCCTTTTTGATGTTGAACATTCAGTGACTCTGATTCTGATGCAATGATTTGAGGCATTGAAGGTTGAAAAAGAAGAAAAATGCTTTTCAAATTTTAGTATTAATAAAATAACACTTGTTGTATTATGGTTGTACTTTACTTTTGAAAACACCTGTTCAGACATCTTTTTAAACCGATTGACTCTATTCTGCCTATGTTTTGGAAGAGAATTACTTTATTTCATCAATTTTCCAATGGTTAGTACCACTCTCAACAGAGCAGTAAGCTTCTTGGAAGGAAAATGGAGTGGTCAAAAACTGTTTATGGTTTCTGTTCATTCTAAAATTATAACATCTTTTAGCATTCCTGAAATTTGGGAAAGGTATTACATGTGATCAGTCTTTCTTGGAACTGTCTGTTCAAGGTGTATCTGAAGTTGTGGGCTGTAATAGCATGTTTGACAGTGTTTTAAAATATATCCTGTAACCATAAAGTCTTAAGGCTCACAGAAGTGAAATAAAAAGCAGTTTTTAAAGCTGAAAAAATGTCAATAAATTTATCTCTGTGTCTGTTTGTTGAATTGCATGTTTAACTTTTTTGAACAGGTATATTATCATACTCAAAAGATATAAATACCTGCCAAGTCATATTCCTGCTTGGGGCTAAATTAGATGTTAGTACTCTGGCCACAATAGAAATGTTTTTTAGAATCTTATCTTATTGTTCATCTAATTATACCCTTAAAGTAACATTAAGCCAATGAATTACTAAATACCAGTAAAATGGAACTAGACTGCTAGGGATCCCATGGCTTTATGCAGTGCCAGTCTGATGAAATGGAAGTCCTAGGTTCTCAATTAGGGTAGTCTTATATGGAACTGTAACAAGAGACAATAAAGTATAAGATGGATACACAGCAGAGATAATACAGTTATAATACAAAAACAGTTAATTTCCCTTATCTACATTTTAGAAGTCATTTGGAAAGTAGGGAATTAAATGGGACAGATTTTAAAGTATAAAGACATATACCAATAATCAGTGCATGCTTTTTTGGTTATTTTAGTTGAGTGGGCTTTTTACTTTTATCATTTTTCTTCCATTCTTCCTTCTTAGATTCCAAACCCTCTCTTTGATCTGGCAGGAATAACATGTGGACATTTCCTTGTTCCCTTTTGGACCTTCTTTGGTGCAACCCTTATTGGGAAAGCAGTAGTTAAGATGCACATCCAGGTAAGTGTATTGTGTCTTAATCCATAAGACCAAACAGAAACCTAAAAAAGTATTTCCACTGGTCCCTTTTGGTGACCTAACATTATATCTTCTTTTGAACAGTAGTTTTCTTAGGGATTTTAAGGTACTCTGAAGGAAAGTAAATTTCTGGAAGGTTTCTCTCATTTGAAAAATTGGTCCCTCAAATTATTTTCCCCCTAGTTCAAACCCCAATCACTAATAGCACCGCAGATCTTAGGGATTAAATCAAGTCACCTACTGAGAATTTTTAGCAATTTGGAGATGTTCCACTGGGGGCCATGAATGTTATGTTAGGGTTCAAGTTTACCAGACATAAACAGAGAGACTATTATTTTCTTTCATTGACATTCATTTTCTCATATATAATCTATTTAGCATTTCCTGCCATGGTACCAAAATCCTTTCCTGAAAACCAGCCAGATGTTAGTGTTGGGGAGAATGGGGTAGAAGTAGCTACCAGTCAGCCTAGAAGATGTGGGCTGTGGTTAGAGAAGTAACAATCTGTTTGTGCCTAGAGCTACTGTTAAAATGAAGTTGGAAGTAAAGGTGGAGAAGGAGGTGGGGAGGGGAGAGAAAGAGTACTACAACAACAACAACAGCAACAACAACAAAAACCCACAAAGACAGGACAGTGGATATAAACAGTGCAGGGGAATAAGGAGACATTAGGAATGGCTGCTATAGAAATAAAGGTGGGTAGAAAGGATTTCCCACATTAATTTAGTCTTCCTTGTTTGCTGCTCCTTTCTTTAAATGTATACCTTACATTGTACTATGAAAAGTTTGTACTAGCAGGCAGTACTCATTTAATCAGCATAACATTTTTAAGCACTTACTCTATGCAAAGGCTCTGGAACATAAAGGCAAAAATAAAAAATTTCGAGACCTCAAAGAGCTTTTGCTTAGGGATTCAGGACATACATTGTAAATAAAGGTAATTTGATGAGTTAGAGAGCCATTAACAATGGGGAGATTAAGAGAAGGACTCACAGAAATGATACCTGAACTGAATCTTGAAGGAAGATATGGATTCTAAAAGACAGAAATGATCATGGAGTACGTTCCAGACCTGGGGGATGGTTTCTGAAAAATACGCATAGATAAGAGAGGGAATGTTGAGTTCAGGGTAGAACTGGTCATCTAGATCAGAAGTGTCAAACTCAGCTGGGCCATACATGACCCCCATAACTCCCAAATGTGGCCTGAACCAGGTTAAACTGCAATTGGAAAATATTTAACAAAATAAAAATACAATAAAATAAAGATCATGTTAATTTATGGTTTTCTAAGTCAGTATACAATCCACAAGGAACCCTTTCTATTGAGTTTGACACCATTTATGTAGATTGCGTAGAATTTATTTTTTGGTGAGGGCTGGTATTGTGAAGTAAGGCTTAAAAGATAAGTTGGGGGGCAGCTAGGTGGCACAGTGGATAGAGCACCGGCCCTGGATTCAGGAATACCTGAGTTCAAATCCGGCCTCAGACACGTAACACTTACTAGCTGTGTGACCCTGGTCAAGTCACTTTACCCCATTGCCTAGCAAAAAAAAAAATTTAAAAAGATGGGAATTCATCCCAGGGGGAAGCTTTATATGTATTCGGGGGGGGGGGCCTTTAGTGAGAACTCAAAGCTTATTTACCATCAGAGGATTCAGATTGGTGAGAAACTTTTACATGTAATGAATATGGGAAGGCTTTCATCCAGCGATCGCCTCTTAGTGTCCATGAAAGAATTCATATTGGAAAGAAACCTAATGAATGCCATTAGTTGCCATAAAGTTGTTAGAATACTCATCCCTTATTGTACATCAGAGAATCCACGCTGAAGAGAAACCTTGTGAATTCAATCAATGTGGTAAATCCTTCAGGCAGCAATTATCCTTTATCTTCCATCAGAAAATTCATACTGGGGGCAGCTAGGTGTTGCAGTGGATAGAGCACTAGCCTTGAAGTCAGGAGGACCTGAGTTCAAATCCAGCCTCAGACCAAACACTTGACACTGACTGGCTGTGTGACCCCGGGCAAGTCACTTAACCCCAATTGCCTTAAAAAACAACAAAAAAGAAAGAAAGAAAGAAAATTCATATTGGAGAGAAATCTTATCATTGTAATGAATGTGAAAAGGGTTTCATACAGAATACAGAATTTGTTAGAAGAAAATTTATTCTAGGCAGAAGTACCCACAGGTATTCCTGCAAAATAGACATAAGTAAAATATTTGCCTTGCAAACAACCCAAATATCAAAAAAGGTAAATAAGTAATTATCAAAAACAATAATAAGTAATGAAATAAATTACTCCATGTTTAGGGGTTATTTTTTTTAATGAGATAATTCTGACTTGCAAAAGAAAAAGAAATGAAAAATTGTCAAGATATAAAGGACACATTGAAATAAAGATCTGATTAGAATTTAAACAGGTAGAGTGAAGGTAAAGGAATAGAATAGCACAATAAACTAAATCCCATAACATCCCTTTAAGTAAATCAAGTTTGTTTGTTTGTTTGTTTGTTGTGGGGCAAAATTGCAGAATAGAAGAGTACATAAATGAGGACTGTGGGGATAGAGGACAGAGAGGAAAGAGTGTTATACCATGGGTGAAGAGGGGAGGCATTTCTATACCCCTATCATCTCTCAGAAAGAAGAAAATCTATGGGAGAATAGAAGAGACCACAAAAAGGAAGAGATTTAAATTGGGGGAATGTTTTAACTCCCTAACAAGGAGGAGGGCATTACTAAAGAACACCCAGTGAGAGAAGAGGTGATGGAAGATAAGGACCTTACAATGGCTTTAACCTGGAGGGAGTTATACTGGGAGACAGTCTTTTCTGAGAGTTTTGTCATCATGGACATCATCCTGTTGTGGGACAAAGGGAAATAAATATTAGCTGCTGGAGGCAGCTGGCATCCATATTGGACCCAGAAATGAGATGCTATAGCCAATGGAAAGATAAACCATCATGGGGAGGGCAGTGAACAGAATTAAATTGCATAGGGACACAAGTTATTTTCTCCCATGGGGCACTGCTTCATCCATGTTACTTCCCACATGAATTGATACTTCCAAAGAGAGGTGAACAACAAAAAAAGACATCATGGCACAAGATCTATAAAGTAATAACATAGAAATTGGTTAAAAGACAGAGAGCTTCAGTATGATACTTCAGAAAATTTAACTCCATGAGAAACACAAAGAGGTTATAAATGAGGAGATAGACTACAAATCAAAGAATAAAAAGAGAAAAGAACAAAACCAAGGAATTCTTTTTAGAAAAAAGTTACAGAAAAAATTTATCATCAAAAAAAAAAAGTTGAAAGGGAGAAGAGGAAGGGGATTTTGAACTAACCACTACTTACCTGAGGGGGGCGGGGAAAGGGGGAAGAAATAAATATCTAAATAACCACAGGAAAACAAATAATTGAAATCACAAACTAGGGAAAACAGGAGTAGGGGCCCAGATGGGAAAGAGGGCCTGTGGAAATAGGGTTGTATTAAAGTAGTTTAAGCAACACTAATCCTAGTGATAAGGTATTGACTTCAAAGAGGAAGGGGAGGATTAAAATAATCTTTTTTTGAAAAGCAGTGCTAGAGATACAAATAAAAGGAAACATAAAGCTAACTCATAACTTTAAATATGAATGAACTAAATCCAATAAAATGAGAGTGACAGAATAAGTTTTAAAAAACACAATTCCAAAGTTATTGCGGACAGAAAATACATCCAACAGGTAAAGACATGCATAGAATCAAAATGAAAGACTGGAACAAAATTTATGCAACAGGTCAATCAATAAGCATTTATTACGTGCCCCCTGAAAAGCATGAGTTTTAATTATGCTATCAGATAAAGTAAAAGTAAAAGCTCACAATATCAATAGAGATAAATAAGAAAATTAATTTTTTGTTCTGGGTTTAAATAGAAAAAAAGAACATTTTTACGTATGTGGCATAAAAGAGGAGCGCGTATGAAAATGTAAATCTAATTCATACCATTTGCTTTCTTTAAAAGTATATAATAAATTCCATGAATTATAGGTTTCATTGGCCCTCTTTTTTGTATCATTATTGATAGTTCCATCAAAATCCTCCCCCCTTTAAAAAAAGAAAGCAAAACACACACACAAATAAGCATAGTCAAGCAAACTAAATTAACGTAGTGGCCATGTCAAAAACTTGTCTCTTACTGTCCCTTGAGTGTCTGTAAGGAAGTGGGCAGCGTATTTCATCCCACATTTTCTGGAAACATTTTGTTTACTGCATTGATCAGAGTTCAATGTTGTTCTTGTATAAATTGGTCTCCTAATTCTGCTGAAGTTCATACTACCCAGGATTTTCAGAAGTATTCTTTTTTTGTCATTTCTTATGATGGAATAATATTTAGTTGCATTCATATGCCACAGTTTGTTTAGCCATTCAGGTGATGGGCATCGTCCCCCCATACCTTTAATTATAGTTCTTTTTTTTCCCCTTTTAATCCACCCTTCAAAATCAGCAAGTTACTTGCAAAGGTTACTAACTAGGTATCATCCTCCTTCTTCCCTACCCTACTCATTGAGTTTGTTGTATTTCTATACCAGACTGTATGTTTACCTCTTCTTTCTTTTAAATAAGAGTAAAGTTCATCTGATGTTCCCTTCCCTCGTCTCTTTCTCCATGTATATATACTCTTCAGTACTCTTATATTCTCTTACTCTGGTGTTCTCACCACTCTAAATATGAGAAATAGCAAGTCCCACCCCTTTCTTCTTCTTTTCCACACTACTGTACTCCTTTTATCCTCCTTCTCTTTCTCTTCCCCACACCCTCCTGACAGAACCAGTCTGCCCCTCCCCAGAGGTCCTCTGTTTTTCTGGTTTGTGTTTTTTTAATTAATTAAATTATTTATTTTTAGTTTTCATCACTCACTTTTATAAGATTTTGAGTTCTAAATTCCTCCCTTCCCCTTTTCCTACTCTGTTTTTCTTTTTTAAACTCCTT